AGTGTGAGAGAATATATAATCTAATACTCCCGGTTCAGCAAAAAAAAAAGATAACTTGTATGCTACTGAAAGTCTGAGACGATTAGGCTCCTAAAAAAATATTTGAAAAAGTACTTGATTTATCACAGTAAGTCAAAGTGATAATGATAATAAAAATTGTCCACTCTACATAAAGTTATAAGAATTTCCTTAAGTATAAAGTGAAAAAATTTTAAATTCCTCTGCAAGAGGAATTTTTGTTTCAAACCAGCTTTGCTTATGCCTTTAGATGAAAAGGTTTTTAAGAGTTTTAAATTAATTTGACTAATGGAGGTGTTTTGCCTAAATCAGAAGCATTGTAGACTTGAAGCTGTTTGTAGACAGGTATTTATTCTCCTCTGAGTGTTGTAGGTAGGGGATTATTTTCCTTTAAAGGAGGTTCATATTAATATTTAAGGGAATTTTGCAACTTCTGTTCATTAGTTGTAGAGAATGCCCAAGTGCCTGTGAAAAAAGTGGTAATGGTGTTGATATTTCATCCTGAAGGGTCTCAAAACAATTTACAGGTTGGTAGTATAACCATCATTGAAATGCACCCAGCTTCTTGGTGGAACATGGCAGCTGTTTAATAGCCCATAGCAAAACTACACAACAGCAGGTTGTGGAAAGAGAGACGAATATGGATCAAATACAAATTGGTGGTGGAGGATTTAGGTGCTGTACTCAAATTAAAGTTAGCCTAGAATATTGAGTCTGTGTGTAAGTACTACACTCTCTCTGACCACAGCTCCTAATACGAGACCTGTGGTTAGCTCATGTGAAAGACAGGCAGAGGACTGTATGCGGAAATGTAATCCTTGCTGTATACTGTAAACCAGTGTGTCTGACAAACAGTTTTAACTGTGAATACTTTGCTGTTTGCAGATGCAGAGGGGTGGTTTATTAAAAACACTTGATGTTAAAATGGGTGCCTTAGGGGGATCCTGGGCAGACGTGGCAATAGGTTTTGATGGGGGTGGCAAATGTTGGCTTGACTACTTAATTTTTGTAATTACTTTTTAAAGAAAACTGAATGTTACTGGTGAAGACTATATTGCCAACAGCTGCACCAGCTGTGATGGCTGAGGAGTGTTTTTTTTATAGATGTAGAGCATCTATTTGTTAGGAAAAAATGTGAACCAATAGATACAACAAGATGCTACCTGATAGCAGTACCTTTAGGTCACTGTTGGCTTGAGCTGAATTTGGGGCTAAGACTGTATTGACAGAGACTGTATGATCTACAGCTCTTGCACATCCTATTGCAACTCCTTTATACCATTTTCCAAATAATATACAAGGACCTACAAAGCTTTTTTGCTCTAGGAAAGTGTGTGAAAGTCCAACCGCGTAATAGCTCTCTGCGACACATGCCCAATTTAAAAGGAGCAAACATGACTTGAACAATTTTTCGTGTGCTTTAGTATGCATGTATGTATGCATTTATTTATTTATTTGGATAATTGAGTTTTCCCTCAGCTAAGGAAAAGCTAGTGTTGCTGACATTACAATGTGTTTGTGAAGAAAGACTGATACCAGAAACACATGCAAGCAACTGCAAGGTCATTACTTACCCAGCATAATTAGAACATCCATTCCGAAGGGGGAAAACATTTAAAAGATAAAGGGTGTATTTAAAAATGATTCTTCCCAATGCAATTTTTTCATAATTATAGTTTTAACAGCTTATGGTGATGGTAGGAGCAGCTACTTAAGAAAAATTAGAAGCCTCGTTCAGGGAAGATGATCCCTCAAGAGACCTTGTGTTGTCATTTCTCAAGAGCCTCAAGCAGAAACCTCATTCAGAGTGGCTGCGTGTTGTTTTGATGTATAGGGAATATACTTAGCTTATTATGACCAACGCTGGATTTTTTAATTAAAAAACACCACAAATGTCAAAAATGTATTGTTCCCCCCATATTCCTCCCCCTATCTGTGCGCGAAAACACAAGCGTTCTTGTGCTCCTGGACTGTGAGAAATGAATACAATCGCAGATGGGCAGGAGAGAAGCTGTAGGTTTCCTGAATTCATATGGTGACATATCTGAGCATCAAAACTCTTACAGCAGTACACAGGCCTTTTGTAATTCTCGGAGTTTTCTGCAGTTGCCACAGGGAAGTGGGAAACGGAGAGGCAAAACAAAACAAAAAAACAACCAGTCACCGCATTTAATTTATAAGCAAGACTATTGTTTTACAAATAACCTTCATGATAAATAAAGTCTCTCGGCAACATTTTCAACTGTGCTTTTATCAAGCCTCTCTGAGCAGTGTTTGTAATATGCCTGGCAATCGAATCACAGCTGTGTGCCTTGGTAGGGAATCTCTGCGGAGACAACGCTTCCTTAATTTAAACAATTGTAGGCTGCAGGAGTTCAAAAATTTCAGCTGACTTTAACTGTCACTAGCCCAAGCACCTTTATCCCCAGGCGAGCAGCAGCAGCTGGATTTCATTTCCTGCTGCCAGACTGTCCGACATCTTTGCTGAACATCCCAGGAACCGAGCGTCTTTACTTTAAGGATTTTATTCAAGGTGACAGCTCCTCACACTTTAGCGTTCAGATCACCTCAAGTAGCTGAGATATCAGTGAAAATGAGAGCGCTTCTACAGCAAACTCCAAATTTAGATTGACTGAGGTTATCCTTAGGCCTCTAGACCCAACCTCTGTGACAGAACAGGCCTGCCAGTAACTTTAAAACTACAGTGGAGTTTGTAATGATGTCTGGGGAGAAATATTCTGCAGGAGCGGTGGAGAATACTATAAGCGATAGGAAATGATGTCAGATTTAGTTAGGGCTGGAGACAGTGTTAGAATATACTTGGCATAATATGGCACCGGTATCTCTGTCAGCATCTCTGTTTTCTGTCACCGCACACAATTCGGGGCCTGTCTGTAGTCCTGACAGTGTCTTTTCAGATCAGGTTATTGCCAACTCGGAGACTCGCTCAGCACAGCACCATACAGCCCCCTTTGTTTGAAGTCTGCCCTTTTGTCATTAATGCACTTGATGTCTATTTAAATCTGACGGTGAATGCAGTATCTGTTTTCCTGTCAAGAGATCATTGACAATATTAATACCTCATGTCCTTGCCTCATTTTCTAAGCGCTGACACCTAGCTGCAGTCTCCAGCATTCATCAAACAGCACTCTCTCACCAGCATCTCTATAAACAGGCTTGCTTCCAGTCCTTAAGAAATGCGGCAGACCTCAAACAAGACTTTTATCAATGCTAGGGAAAAAGGAGTCTGAAGAATGCCATTAATACTCTGTTCATATCCTTTGCATTTAGAGCTCTAAATGGCCTTGTTACCAGTCTAATGCCTTCTGCATTTCGCCTTGGAATGTCATTGGTTTGAGAGACAAAAACTTGCTTTTCATTAGGTGCTTGTTTAGGAATGGTAATTTCATCCCTTGAATGTGGAAGTCGCTCCACCAGTCATCAAAATAGCTCCATGGAGGAGGGGAAAGGGATCAAGCACTGCACCATATAGTCCCTATTTGTGTTATCCTGAAGAGGAATGTGGTGTTTTTCACAACAAACGACAAGCTTATCAATTTTTGTTTTCCGTAGGAATGTGTTACCATCCTGATATCTTAGAAGGAAAGAAGAGCATGGGTTAATGTTGATCTTACATACCCATGCCCTTCAAGGCTTTAGTTGCTTATTTGACACGCATTGTACTGCAAACATAAATGCAGATTATAGAAGCATGCATACTTAATTCATACTGTGGGTGAGTACAATATTTGCTACAGGAATCCTGGAAAGCTAAAATTGCAATAAATTGAGGATCGGTCCTCCCTCATCTTTACCCTTCGTGTAAGGCAGTGTGTGCCTCCTTTGGGCTAGGTTACGTTTGCCCTTGTAGGGGCAAGCTAGATACTTCAGTGATCACTGTGTTAGACGATCCCAAGACAGAGGAGACTCACCTTCCTTCTGCGCATGGGAGATGACTTTAATTTGACTGTGTGCACCTGGGGGCACAAAGAGCGACTCTACAAGTAAAAATTTAGCATCTTTGAGAACGTTTACAGGTGGGATGTGACTGTGAACTTATGCTTCTGCATACCACTTAGGACCACCAGTGGGGATGCTTTTGGATAGGGTAGTAAGATCTGCAGGTATGTATGTCCCACCCACAGCAGTTAAGACTTCCTCAAGCATCTTGCCTCCTGTACGTGCTAAGGACAATGTGCCTTTTCTCCAGAAAGCAGCATTCTGGCTAATTTTTACAAGCAAGCATCTTGTATGTACTGGTATTTAGCATAATTTGTAATTGCATCTGCTGTTGCTCTTGTGGCATAGTATGGAGAGTTGCTTTGGAAATGTTTTTACTAAATGTTTATTTGTTTGTCTGGGGAAAACACTGTGGTGTGGAGGGCCAAATATTGGGAGGTCCCAAGCTCTAGCCTGTGTCTGTTGACAACTTCCCTTGTGGATTTCAGCCAGTCACTTCAGTTCTCTGCCACTGCAAAGCAGGGATGGAGTGAGATGCTTGCAGGATGACTTTGTGAGTATTTGTAAGGTTTTTGTTGGATTCACATCAAGCTGTAACTATTTGCTGCTTTTTTTCTTTTTGTTTTTAATTATCAGGAAAACCCTGTAACTATGTAGTAAGGAGATTACAAAGAGTACGAAATGTAAATCCAAGCTAGATTCTCCATTTTCTAAAACTGGTAGAGAGGTACTGTGATTTAAAATATAGTATGTGATGTGCCAGTGTGATGTCATCCAATTTTTTAAGCCACTTGTGGATATATATTTTGCAGGCTAGCTCATGCAGGTATCTGAGTGTAAGTTTGCCCAGTGTATTAAAAACTGCTAATAGGGAATATTTCGAATGCACAAACTTTCTTTTGCAGTACAAGAGAGAACTGTTCCTTTCCCTCCACTGCCCCCTCAAGTTTCCCTAGCTGTGTGCCTTCTTTGCGTGTTATGCTACTGCTGTCCTAATTGCAACTCATTTCCTTTTACTGTAGGTGTTTTGGGAAAATGCCGCTACGTTTACTACGGAAAACATTCCGAGGGCAACAGATTCATCCGAGATGACCAGCTATAAAATGCAGCGTTGTTTCATGCTTCTTCAATCCTTCCAGATAAGAAGTACAAATTGCATCTAGATTTTAAGCATGTAACTAAAGTCCTCCAGTGCCTTCTGCTGACTTTGCCAAGCCTGTCAAGATCATCCTTCTATCTTAGTCTGAGTAGTCACATAGAGATTGACATGATTGCCTTTAAGCGGGTCCCATCCACCAGTGTGACAGACAGCTGCAGCCAAGCACCCAGCCTGACAGGATGAACACCGTGATGGATTGCCTGGTCCAACTGCTGCTCACAGAAGAGCAGAGGTCACACCTGGGGCTTCTCTGAGCACGCGCGGTTGGCTTTGAAGCAAAAACAGTGCATTTCTTTCCAGCTTGCCTGTTGAGTGAGAGTGGCTGACAGCATCAAAGTGTTTAGAAAAGAGAGAGGCTATAATTTCAGATGAAAAAGCCCTTTATCTGTTCTTATTTCAACCCCCCCAATTAAGTACTTAAGTTTATCTCATATATGCATACGCAAATCCTTTTCATAGAGCTTCACCCCACATCCCCTAACAAATGAGTCTATATGGATTGTTGTTTAGTTTCAAGAGGAAAAATATATCCTGAAAATATTTCAGCCATGCACAATACTATCAATATGTATTTTTGTTTATATATAAAGGAAAGATGTTTAAGCAATTTCACAGACAAACCAAATTTGTTAATTTGTATATTAAATCTCAAGGTTACTAACTCTTACCTTCAGAAAGTGGATCATTTTTAGTACTGTAGAATAGTTGCACAGAGGATCTCATGTTTAACTGTATATGCTTTGAAAAAGCCCTCAATTAAGATCCTGATAGGGTATGTTATTCCTGGTTTATTGGACAAGATACTTTTAACTTGCACAGAGATTGCATTTAGAATTGAATGCTTAAATTTAGAAAGAAAAAAAGTGTTTCAAAAGGGGGACTATAAAATAAAAATTTCCAGCAGGTGAGTATGATTATTTAGAAGGAAAAAAATGATAAATAAAAGTAACTGGTGGAAGTAACGTAATTAGCATCTTTACTAATATCTTTTAGAAAAGAGCTCTCATTAATCCCTTTTGATGTATATGTAAGCAATGCTTCTGTCAACCTTTCAGTGAGCAAAATAAAAATGCGTAGCGTATTTCCTGCTTTTTTGATAAACCAGTTGGACATATTTAGAATCATTAACTTATTACTGTGAAACAAATTCCCCAAACTTAGTAAATACACTGTGTTTGGTGCTACTAGAGCCAATGACACTGACCAAAGAATGTGTAGAAATTCTGACATCTATATTGTTCCAAACCTGTCCATATTGGTCCCAGTTGAGAATGATCACTATCTGGCTGTTCTTGGCTTGTCTGAAATGACTTAGTGCTCTTAATTCACTTTCCTAGCAGAAAAATGTCAATTTTTAGAAGTCGTCTCCTTTTTTTGTTATTATTAGCTGCTATTGCAAGCATAAAGGAACTGGATGTAGAAGCCAATCTTGAAATCAGGTTTGTCCTGTGGAAAAAGATGAGATGTACTGGCAGAGCAGCAAAGAAAAAGTTGCTGCTGCTCTCCATTTTAGGCCTTAACAAATGGAAGACTTTGCTCGCGCTGAAAAGCTATAGTAAAACTTCAATAAATATTTAAAATCAATGAGGAACATCGATTACATCACTTATGGAGCATGCCTTATACGTTAAACTCAAATTGAGCTCTGAGCTGCTCGTTTTACAAATTGGCGCCTGGGAAGTGAGTTTTGGCCACGTGTAAGACCTCTGCCCATGTTATAGATGACTACTAATGAAATACTAATAGACTGTTGTGGTGAGCAAATTCATATTGGACAGCCTAGGAGATATTAGATAAAGGTGGGAAAGTACAACTGCATGCCTCTCTTCTTTCAAAAATACTTATTAGAAATATTAGGGTACTTGTTTTATATTTGGGTTACCAAAATAACAGCAAGTTGCCATCCTAGTTCATTCATATCATGTTGTCTGTTTTGAAGCCTCAATGCATGTTTTGGCCAGGGCATCTTACAGGCAGCAGGGTTCTGAATACGGGTGTTTAGAATAACCTAATGTCATATTCAGTCTGGTTGCATATATGTTCTTGTCTTTATAAAAGGCTTTAACCCTGCCTCAAACAATAAACAGCACTTGCAAACTGACCATATGATTTTTCCATGTTTATTTTGCTTGTTTACTTTTCCTAATGTCAAAACCATTTGTATCATTTTCAGGAGTGTTTTCTTCCATGCAAGGCTTTGGAGGCAAAAATATTTTTGGAATGAGATGTGATCAAAATCTCTTCCATTTTGTTTTTGTTTTCACTTGGGGGTGTGTGTACCTATAGTTAAATATGGTAAAAAACCTAGTTAAAGTTTGCTTGAAGAGAATTCACACTAAAAGTCACTGATTCTGGATAATCAAATGATAATTTAAGGATAATTATTTTCGTACTTTTAGAATATGTTAGAATGTTTTATTTAAAAGCTAGCATGCATATCTATTACTGTTTCTGCTAACATTTTTTTTTTAATATGCAGACCATTTTATTTTCAGATGTCTTCTGCTGAAGTTCTATTTTTAAAAAGGGTAAACTTTTGTGGTCTAGGACTGCTATCTGTACTTGGGTCTTTCTTCAGTGGAAAACGTGCCTGAATTTCTTAACTGACCTGAGTTTCAGTTAAGATTAAAGTTGTAGAAATATAGTCTAAGGAGAGATTCCCCTTTGTCTCCTTTACTTCCCCTGACATATGTGGCAGATCTTTCCCTCTCAAGGTTAACCAAACTATTTGAAATAAGATTTTTTGCTTACTAGGCCAAAAGGATTTAAAATGCATCCCTTTCCAAGAAGCCACTGCATTCTTATTTTGTTTTGCATCGGCACAAGAGAAAAATCAGTTAGCCATTTTTCATTATGTCTAATAAGGTTTGAGATCCAAGCTGTATTTGCATAAGTAATCTTCAAATATTATGAATTTTAAAAAATCCAAACTTCAGTCTTATGTTTAGTCTTGTGATGACCAATACTTTGGCTTTTGGCAGACATCATATACAGAGGAAGACTAGAAGGTAGATAATTTTACTGGGAGCTGCCTGTAAAAGCTGTTTTGTTAGTATATTCCTAACATTATTTGTTCCAAATATTAATTCATTGTGTTTTAATTACAATTTAAAAAAAAAAGCCAAACTGCAATTTTAAATTAAAATTTTAAAGATAAACTTCCTTAAGTGAAAATCCTGCAAATATAGATGCACAAACCTAAACTTTAGTTAGAGCATACTAGCTCTAATTGCATGTATTGCAAGCATAAATGATTATGGGATTGCTGTGTTACTACTGAAACCACTTTTTTCTCTTTGGTTGAGGCTGAGTCCTACAATACTTATTCAAATATTTTCTTTACTCAAGCCATAAGTCCCTCTGAAGTTAATGTTATTTTCCATGAGAGTTAGAGTTACCAGGACTGGAAAGTTAATATGCAGCTCCCTTTTTAATGTTTGATTCTTTAAGTAGAGCATTAGGTCATTAGTGAATGTTCAATTCTCACATCTTCTTTGCAAACAAAAAGTCAAAGGTTTTATGACATGAGCAAGGGAAAAAAGTAACGGTAAGCTTATATAAAGGTCCATAATGTTTAGAGTGACTAGTGCAATGCCAACAGTTTCTAACTGGCATGTATTTCTGTGATGTCTCTAATGTTGGTTTAGCCAGCGGAGAAGAGAAATGGGCACAAACAAGAGTTCAGGACCTCTTTGCAGATCTGGCACTGCTTGTACTGTTGAACGCTGCAGTGGAAGTTCACAACAGGTAAATAAATAAATAAAAACAATTGCATGCCTTGCCATATATACACTTAACGGTTGTAAAGCTCTTTACTTTTTTCCTTGCTGTGTTCTTGTTGTTCCACAGTGCTAAAAGGATACAGGTATGCTGTAGAGTCTTTAAAAGAAGCTATAGGGAAAGTTTGAGCAAAAGTCTGTCAGCTCTTAAAAGCTGCACAATCAGCAAATCACAAAAAATTGGAAACATAAATTGCGTATTGCATTGCTCTGGAAGGAATTTTAGCTTCACTAATCTATGTGATGCAGGTGAGTTAACCTGAACTTTCAGATTTGCTGACTTTTTTGTGAACGTATTTTTTTCCTTATATTTATTACTATTAAGGTAATAGTTAAGGCAAAATATGCCTGTTCATTTGTTAGCATATTACCAAATATTTACAATGCAGATTGTTTTTATGAAGTTATACCAGTGTTCATGCCTTTAACACAATCACTTATTTAGAAAACTCACTGAACTTCAGTAAAATGTATTGAATTTGATGACCCTTCCAAAGTTACTGCAGCAGTCTCTGCCATTTCTCCCAGTGTGCACTGGATGGAAGCTACCCTAATCTGACAGGGAGTTTTCCCCAGCCTGTGGTGGAGCGCTCTGCCTTAAGACAGGACACGCATGCGGGCGAGTCAGTGCCATCTCCAGCATCTGCTTGCTCTGTGGGCTCTTTTGTAGTGGAGGAGTTTCTCAGAAACAAAGACCCTCTGCCCCTGTTACCCTCTTCCAGATCGTTCTTAAAACTGCCTTTGGCCATAATACCTACAAATACCCTCACAGCGGCCAACAGCCAGCGTGCTGTGGCCACAGCTCTTCGTGCTGGGGCGCTGCTGCCGCTTCCTTCCTGTGCGTGCTTGCTGGCGGTCCGTGCCCGCCTGCTGTTTCTTGCCCGAGACTGCAGTTCTCTGCTGGTAAGCATGTGTGCGCGAGGAGAGAGCAAGTTGTCACCTCTGCGATGCCTAGGGCATGGCTTTCTGCTTTCTCCGGGTGATGACTTCACAGCGTTCCCACCAGTAAGAACTGCCAGCAGGGCTGGAGTGGTTGTTCTCCTGGTTTTGTCTGGGAACAAGTTTGGCACATAGCCTGTTGCCTCTCTTATGCTCCAGTATCCCCCACCAGCGTGCTCCAAGACGGTGCCTGACCTGCACGGCCCTTTCGCCTTGCCCTGGCCGCAGCTCTGTGTGTGTGTGTATTCGGTTTAGCACAACAGGGTCCTACTCAGTGGATAGGGGCAACCACAGTGCAAGGCATAAATTAAAGAGGGAACTGGAGGATGAAGCCTTAAACTGGAAAAAATGTTGGATAAATAGTATGGATCACCATGTGTGTTTAAACAGGATGAACTGTTCTGCTGTGTCTTGCAGGAAAAGATAGCCTTTATTATGGTTCTTTACTACAGTACAGTGTAGATTTTCTAAATGAGATCATGGCTCTGTTACTCTTAAGTGTTTTTTGCACCTCCAATTAGATGGTGAATAAATAAAGAAAAAAGTTTTGGACAAAGAAGTGTATCTGCATTGCACAGGTGTATAACCAAGACATGCAGAAGTTGAACAGTTTGTAGAACTTAACAGCCCCAGCACCAGATCATATGTGCCAATTATGTAGGTACTTTGGATGAATGATTACCTTTCTGTTTCTGATAATTAGGAGTTTTTGGAGTTTTGGTCTTCCATTTCACTGCTAGAAACTAAACACAAATTAACTGTCTTTTTTTAGACTCTGATTTTTGGGCCACTTGCCCAGTAGAATAAGAATTTGTTTCTAAGTATTCCTGTTTCTGAAGATAATGTAAATACACAGATATAGACATATATTTGCATGCTGGTTTTATTTAGTATTATTATTTGGGATGTGGGAGAATGTTACATTCTTTTGAAGCAGGAGGAAGTATCTTTGATTTTTTTTACTGTGATTCACATATGAAATAATTGGATCTCTCTATTTTGCAAACTCTCACCCACTGGGTCCAACATACTTTTTTAGACTCAGAAATTTGCCAAGAAAGAGAAGGTTAAGTGGCTGCAAACTGGAGGGAAATGTTGTACAGACCACTATAGAGGCATCTACTGTACTGAGATGTCCTTCAGCCTGCCTCTGCACTTATAACCATTTACAAAAGATGGCCGATTATACTGTGTAGCTTTTAAAGCTATTACATCTCAGCAAGCTCAGAACAGAAATTAAGATCCTTTCCTCCAGGATGTGTTCGCTGGCTGAGGCAGCAGCTACTACCATGTTTCTAGGTCTTCGGAGGAATGAAATGTGCTGCGCTAAACCAACCCTGAAGCCCCTTAGTTGATACCTCTTGATATTGCTGTGGAGACAGCTGTTGACTTCATGGCTAGTGGGTCCTATAATACTCAGTGATCTTATCATCCTGAAACATAAATGTTGCCCTGTGCTTGTGTAGCAGAACTAAACAAATAGTGTAGGCCCAGCTGCACAGTCTTTGCTCAGGTGAGACTCCTGCCAAAATCCCAGTATTTGTTTTTTACCTGAGTAAGAAGTGCATAATCAGTGCTGCTGGGTCAGACTAAGGGAAACTAATACAGAGGATTTTAAAAGTCACTGCATATTGATTTCAAGCCTTATGTTGCTCCCATTGAAGTCAGAAGAAAAAAAGAAACCTGCTCGTGCTCTTGAAAATTTTTTTCTATATATTACAGGGTTCACACACGCTGCTGGCGTGTGTATTTATAATTTTGTTCTGGCCTGTAACTATGCAGGTATATAGGGAAAGTTTTACCCCCAGCAGGGCTGTGCTATTGGCAGCCTTTGTCGTGAGGTTCTGAATCAACCCATTTTATGCAGACCTGGTGTCAGTCTTACCACATATTTCTACTTTTTGTAGTGTGATAGTTGGCATGTGAGTATAAAGTGTGAAGTGCTTGTCTCTAGCAAGCTTGGGAAAGTTTATTTTCTTTATTTTGTGTACACCTGTCCATCTATTTGCTTTGTTAAATGGTGGGCACATGAGAGAGAGATGGATTTCAGCTTTCCAGGGGTGTCTTGCATGTCTTGCCAGCTGCTGTCCTGTGCTCCTGAAAGTCTCTAGCTGTGTCCTTGTCTGCTTCAATTGCCGTGTCATTGCTCTGCAAACATGTGATGGCACAACAGAGTTAAGTGTTCCCCTTTTGTTTCTAAAGTGAAATTTCTGCTTCACCGATTGTGGTATAACGACTGAAGTGCGTGGTTTGCTTTTTCAGTGCTTGTATATATACACCTGATATCCGTTATGTCTCACTGTCTAGTCTACTTCTGCTGTTTGGGTAAAACCTGTTTTTGACATTCCTTTCCACTCCTACTAATGGGAATGAGACTAAGCAA